AGGAATGGACAGGGAAAGCTGTGATGCAGTCTCAGCCAGCCCAGTGGGGGCGCTCCAGAGCAAAGATTGCCTGCTAGAGGGGGCCCACCTGCGCAGAAATGTCCAGGTCCCCGGTCCCCCACCAAGCCAGTTATTGGCTGGGACTGCTCCAGTACAGTGTGACATGGGCTCAGTATGACATTGTGAAGGTGCTAACAGCCACCTGCTCGCCTCACCACTGGACAGTAAATGCCTTCCAGAAGGAGATATGAGTGGTCCACTCCCATGGTGCCACCCTTGTCAATTGGGCGGCCAAAATATTCTACAAAACAGCAACCGAACTAGTATTTGGCATTGTATAAACCAGACCACCAGCTCCCTGACAGGCTGTTTTCTTTCTAAACCACTGTTTTCACCCTGAGCAAAAAGAAAAGCCTGGAGTTTGGGCCAACTGGACAGTCATTCTGAGAGCTGGTTCCCTCGTGGGCGAGGCCGTGCCTTAGACCAGTCTTGGGAGATCTTGCTGCTTGAGGCGGGGTGGGCGGGGGGCTTCAGTTTGCCCATCTGTCAAAAGAGGATGTTGGTGTCGATGATCCCTCAGGCCCCTCCCAGCTCCAAGCTGACTCCACACCTGGCAGCCCCCAGCTGTTCCACCCACTCTTCCCTGGGGGGTGATCCCACACCACCTTCACGCCTCCCATAATCAATCAGTAACCCATCTGAGGCAGCTGGGGTCTCTGCCTCCTGCCCTCAGGGGCCTGGGCCATGACATCCATCGGTGGTTCCGGCTGGGAGCCTTGCGCACCAGATGGCCCACCCTGCTAGGGCACGGCCCTGCCACAGAGATGATGGATCTTCCGTCCAGTGGGACTGTGACGAGGGCAGCGGGGAGGGTCCACGCAGCTCGGCTGACCACATGTGCATGCTGTGTCGGCAGGGACGTGCTGCGACCTGCGGGAGCATCTCTGCACACCCCACAACCGGGGCCTCAACAACAAATGCTTCGACGACTGCATGTGTGTGGAAGGTGAGGGCTCCCCCGTGCCCCTAGAACCACGAAACCTCCCTTCCTCCTTGAAGCGGGTTCTGTGCCGAGTGGGGGATGCGTTTTCCTGTAGAGGGTGGACTGAGGGGTCTGTGGCGAAGGAGGCGGTGGGAGAATCCCTTGGGAGCTGAAGCCCTAAGCGAGAACAGCTTTGCTCGGTGCCTTCCCAATCTGTGAACGCATTTAGTCCTGATTCCTGGCATCGTTTCTCAATTTGCTTTTTTTCACCTCTTGAAATACAAGCTGGCATGATTTCCCAAGATCTAGAGGCAGGAGAAGGGAGGAGAGAAGAGCCTATCTCTTTAAATAAGATCAAACCTGAGAAGGCTGGTGCTTTCGGGCCAGAACTCTGTCCCAGGGGAAGCATTCCAAGTGTGATAACTGGGCTGGGGGGTGGAATTCTCAGCATGCCCCAGGAAAGGATGCACTTAGCTGGCTACCTCTAACTCCTCTGCGCTTCCACCTCGAGCGGCAGGTGCCCTCCAGCTCAAGTGTGCCCAGGCGTGCCAGGCTCAGCGCTCAACACTTTGCTCACATTGTCTCCTTGATCCTCACAGCCATCCCATTAAGGGCGCCATTATGGTTCCCGTTTTATGTATCGGCAATCTGAGGCACAGCGAGGTTAAGTGACTTGCTGAAACTCAGACAGCTAGAAAAGAGAGGAATATTTTTATTTTGAAAAATTTCTAACATATACTAGGTAGTCAGAATAGTAGTCAGAATAATGAACCACCATTTTCCGTCACCCGGGTTCAATAATTACCAACTCACTGCCTATCTATGTCATCTCTCCCCTGCCTACTTTCCCATTCCCATATGATTCTGAAGCAACTCCTAAGAGTTTAAAGATTTTTCATGTGTGAATAGTTCAGTATATATCTCTAAAAGATAAGAATTCTTCTAAAAACAAAATACCAAGAATGAACGGTGATTCCTCAATATCATTCAATATCCAGTTAGTGTTCTCATCTCTTGAGCAGACAGTAAGTAAATAAATAAATGTCTTTAGAAAGTAATAAGGAGAATAAAGAAAATAATTCTGAGGTCTGATGAGTCAAGGAGTTGTTTCAGAAAAGATGGACAGAAGTGGACATTGGAACCAGCTCCCTGAAGATGGGGGGCTTGGGAAAGGAGAGTCCCAGGCAAGAGGCAGAACAGAAGCGAGGACCTCAGGCAGGAACACGGCTGGTGTGTTGAGTGGGCCTGGCACGCAGTGGCCACAGGGAAGTTGGCACAGGGGAGGTGGGAGAAGCTGGTCGGGAGGATCACTCAGGGACCTTGTCGGCCTTATTTGATTTGTAAATGGAAGTTGCAGGCAGATTTTAAGCTGGGGAGTGACATCCTCTGACGTAGGAGTTTAAAAGCTCGCTCTGGCTGCAGGGCTGTGGGGGGCGTGAATGGAGACCGGAGGACAAGCTGAAAGGTGAGAGAGGATGGAGGCAGGCAGGGGTGGGGCTGGGCGATGCTGAGAAGCTGCCTTCTGGTACCTGTGTGCAGGGCCAGGCTGCAGGGCTGTGGGGGGCGTGAATGGAGACCGGGAGGATGGAGGCAGGCAGCGGTGGGGCTGGGCGATGCTGGGAAGCTGCCTTCTGGTACCTGTGTGCAGGGCCGGGCCCCATTGCACAGAGGAGATCGAGGTGCAGAGAGGGCAGGAGGCACTTCCGGTCCAGGGAGCTTGGAACAGGGTTGGGACCAAACCTCAGTCCTTGACCTCTAGGTCATAGCCCTGAACATCTCCAGTGCTGCGTCTGTTCATCCGTCCCTCTCATGGAGGCTGCTGTGTGGAGGCTGGGTTGGTTGTAGGGTAGAATAAAGACGGGGATGATGGGGACAGGGTATAAGGGTCCCAGAAGGTGCGGGTTGTTGGGGGGAAGATGGGGAGGGGACTGGCCAGTCGCACCCCTGACCCCCTTGCTTCCTTTCGCTCAGGGCTGCGCTGCTATGCGAAATTCCACCGGAACCGCAGGGTCACACGGAGGAAGGGGCGCTGCGTGGAGCCCGAGACAGCCAACGGGGACCAGGGATCCTTCATCAACGTCTAGCGCCCCACGGGAGGCGCCTCCCCGCTGGCCTGGGGCCTGAGTGCGGGAGGTTTGGAGGAGCCGGCAATTTGTTTATAACTAGCGGTGGGAGAGCGAATAGGGGACCAGAAGACCGAGGCTGCGCTGGGGAACTGCCTGCGCAGGAGCCAAGCGGCAGCTCACCTGCACCCGGCACCCAGCCCCTGGGGACTCCTGCGGCCTGCGCGTCCGGATGCCCGGGTGCTCCGCGATGGCAATGTCGAGAGTGCCCTCTACTGTCCGACTGCAGCACTGCAACAGCTTCGAGTTTAAATGAAGAGGTTTTTGCGGAAAAGAAACACAAACTTCCTGAGAGATAGGGAACCCAAGGGCGGGAGCTGAATACGGAACACCGCTTATGTGCCAGGCACTGTGCTAAACGCGGGGCATACCTTATTCCACTTAGCTGTCGCATGACCTCTTCAAGTAAGCACTGTCACCATTTTACAGGAGAGAAAACGGGCCACAGTTGAGTCATATGATTTGTCTAGGGTCCCAGATCAATGCTCCTCAAACCTTAACCTGTGTATGAATCCCCTGGGGTCTGGTGAAAATGCAGATTCCAATTCAGTCGATTCTGCCTTTCCAACAGGCTCCCTGAGCCTGCTTATGCTGCGGGTCCCTGGACCCCACTGAGAGCACCCGAGTTTGCTCCTCTGCTGCCGAGGACTTAACTCCAGGCTCTCCATGGCTTTCAGTGACAGAGACGTGTTCCCTGGTAGTTCCTTTCGTTGGGGAGAGACTGCAATGAGTGACTGCTCTCTTCCTCCCCTGGAAAAAGGTATCTTTAAAACAAAACCCAACCTGCATTAAGCTCCTGCTTGTTTGTAAGCCATGATTTGGGCAGATGGGCCCCCGCCCCCTGGGAGCTGGCATTCTGAGATCTGACGTGTTCCTTAGGTTCCTGTGGCCCGGGGACATGCACTTTGGAGTTGCCCTGACAGCTTCCACTCCAGAGCTTCTTTATCTTTTATAGTTTATGCCCTTGGAGAATGTCATGAAAGCATAGACAAAAACAACACACACGTCGCCCATGTGCAGCACCCACTTTGTTCTGTCTCAGTGGTTCCCAGGCTTCCCAGAAGACTGTGTCAGGACGCCCACCCCCAACTTCTGAGCCCAGTGAGGAGTTGGGGCACTGCTGAGATTGAGGTGCTGTCTGAAGCTAACTTCCCCCCACAGGCCAGACCCATGATGCCCACCTATCACGTCTGTCCCAGCAGAGCCCGCTCTAGAGGCCACTTCAGTCCCCACCCCTGGCATCTCACTCTTGGCCAACCCTCTGGTCCAGGGCAAACCAGGTTGCAAATGACAAAAGCCTTCCCCATCCAAATTCCTCACCTGCCTGGACATCAGCCTAGACACCTGCCCGAGGGAGGGACCACGCCCACAGGATTCCAGGGCTGTTTACTCCCTTGGGAAAATCAGTTGGGGTCAGGGGTCTGGCACCAAGGAAAGCAAACAGATCTAGGAGAAACCAAATATGCTTGTTCTTTTTTCCTATTCAAGTTCAAAGGGCATGGGAATCTTGGGGGTAGGGGTAGGGCAGGGGACCCGAAAGAGATCAAAGCCTTCTCTTTGGAAATCAAATCTGCCAGTCGTTTTGTCCGTTTGAGAGCATACAACGCCCATGCTGTGTGATGGGAGATTGTGGCAGAGCTTCCAGGGTGTGCCTGCAGGCAGGACCGCAGCATTGCTTATGCCTGGGGGGCAGCAGTTAGATGGCCCTGGACATCAGCAACGGGAAACAAAGTCAGGACAAAGCTGAAAGGCCCCACAGGAGAGTTCTATGGTTGGGAATTCAGAGCCTATCTATTTATTTGCCCTACCCACCTCCATTTGGCATTTGCAAAGGGGGATGGGAATGGAATCCTCTTAACTCCAGAGTTAGGGGCCCCAAAGTCCCTTCAGAGTTTAACAAACTTCTCTGGCGGAAAGTTCTTCCTTAGATCTATCTTAAATTTCCGCTGGTACAGAAGCCAGTTTCCTCTAACCCAGGGTTCAGCAAACTTTACCCTAAAGGGCCAGATAAATATTTTAGGTTGTATTCTGATAAAACTATTTATGGACACTGAGATTTGAATTTCATATAATTTTCATATGTCACATTGTTCTTTTCTGGATTTTCCAAAACACATTTAAAAATGTAAAAATCCTCTCTTACCTTGTAGGCTACGCAAAAATAGGCAGTGGGTTGGATTTGGCTCATAGGCCATAGTTTGCAGATCCTTGCTCCAGCCTGCTAGTCTCAACTTTGGCCGCACATTAGAATAATCTGGGGAACTTTTAAAGGCACCGATGCCCAGGGGGCCCACGTGCAAAGATTCTGGTTTAAATTGGTCCGAGTTGTGTCTGGGCTTCGTTGTCTTCAGAGCTCTCCAGGTGACACTAATGTGCAGTGGGAATGCGCCTGGTGACAAAAGGCCTGCTCTGCTTCTCACCATCTTCATGGCCTTAGGAAAGTTCCTTACAGTCTCTGCCTTGATTTCTTCATCTGTAAAATGGGGATAGTAACTTTTCCTTCATAGGGGGTGATGTGAGAAGTCATCGCAAAACCCTCATAACGTGCTTCGAACAGTGCCCGGCACATAATAAGCCCCTAGTGTTAGCTCTTCTGTTTTCTAGGACAATTTTAGTAGGTGTTCTGTTCTTTGATAATTGATCCATTGCATATTCAAAGATCGTTTCTAAGTCATAATTCAGAGTCCTTCCCCGAAGTGTGTTCCCTGGAACACGGGGGCCATGAGATGCTCCATTAGGAAAGAGGGCGTGGGGTTGTCTGGTCAAAGAGGTTTGGAAAACTGCTCTGGATTCAGCCCGAGGCAGCATGATCAGATTCTGGGCTCTGAGGCAGACCTGGAGGTGTGATTGGCTTTGTGATAACAGGTTCATGAGTTTTAAAAATATACCCCATGAGGGGAAAAGTGAGCCAGGGGCCAGATGAAAGCAATAGCCCTTCTACATTCTTCCTGCGGACTCTTACAGCCATTTCCCAGAGATACTCACCGTTCCCACGGGGCTGCCTTTCCGTGATTTTTCTGGCGATGCCGAGAGTGGCTCCCAAGCCTACCAGGAATGTGTTGAGGATCAGAAGACACAAGGGCCAAGCCTCATGGGAAAGTGACAGCTTCGCCTGCCCTTTGGGGAGTGACTGAGACACAAGTCAAATCGCAAAGCCATGGCCCCTTCCACTGCTGAGATGCTGCCATGGAGCCTTCCTTCAAGCCATATTCGACGTAGCCAATAAAACCGATTGTTGCGTGGTAGGCATACAGCCCCTGGGATGGGGTTCACTTTGCAGCTGGAGAGACGATGGAGAGACATATAACCTGCAAAGAACATGTTTATAAAACACAGAACAGCAAAAATGGGTGCTGGGAGAGACAGTGGGTGGGAGGGGCCTAAAAAGCAAACCATTTAGGCTCCTGAGGGGTTTCTTGGGGCTGGAAGGAGCACATCACCTCCGATGACCTTCACTCCCATGTGAGATTGTGAGAAGTGTGTGCGTGCTGGGGAGGGGGCGGCAGGAACTGGCGATTCTGAGGACCAGGGGCTTACATCGCAGGGAGTGTATTTTCTGCATTCTGCGTCAGGATGGGTGGTATGATTTGGGATCTATGGCCTCTGCTGGGTGCAGGAGGCTTTCCAGCCCCTCCTTACTCCCAGTGTGCTCCAGGTCAGCGTGCCATCACCTGTGAGCTTGGTAGAGATGCAGGACCCTGGGCTTCACCTGCTGAATCAGAATCTCTGGGGCTGCAGCCCAGTTGCATAGGTTTTAACGAGTTCTTCGGCCCATTTTTGTACATGATAAAGTGAGAGACAAGGTCTAGGATACAGAACTATTGGGTCAGGGCCATTGGGATGATTCAGGGGCATTTGCATTCAGGTGTGAGTGGGCAAATCTGTTTGCCCAGTTAATAACCAGCAAAGATGAACTCGCAGGCTCTGAGGCCTTGCTTCTGGGGTGGAACTAGTCTTTATTTTTAGAGGAGATCGAGTAGAGCACCTGGTCCTGGAGCTCTCAGTCCTTGAGTGTTCTGACTCTTAGGAAATTCCCTGGGGGGCTGTGGCTCCTCTTTAAAGTGTGGGGTAGCAGGGGGCGGGGGGCGGTGCTATGCCCTTGTAGTCCTGTGATGGCGTGTTGCATGTGCTCTCGAGCTGTAAATAAAGAGATGATGGTTAATAAGTTGACTTGTTGCCTCTGTCTGCCCCTCCGGGAGATGGTCTGTCTGTGCAGGCAGTGAGCGCTGTTAGGGCATCATCGGCCTAGTATTTCTCCTGCCACATCTCATACATTCACTCACACCTTGGAATGAGCATTTGCTCTGAGCTAAACAGTCAACAGGCAGACAGGACCTCATCATGGTCTTTGAACCAAATCTCTTGGGTGGGAATTGCGTATTTTTATCTCCCTCCCCATTTTAGGGTTGGGCAGCTAAGGTCCCAAAGTGACGATAAGGCTGGTCACTGCAGGCTGGCCTCTGGCAGCCTCATTCCAGGCCTATGTGGGCAAGTGTGGAGAAAAGCAGATGCCAACTTGGGCAGGATGGGGAGGCACAAAACATTGCTGCCTGAAGCTGGGCATGGGCATGCTCAAATGCCGTCTTGGGAAAGGACATGAACTGGCAAGGGGGTGGCCTGGCTGGACACCAAAAAGGACATTTCTTGTCTCAGTGGCAGCTCCAGCCAGCATCACCAGCTCTGCTGACCAAGCCCTGCCAGGCCTAGTTGATCAGAGCAGGGCTGTGTATGGCTCTCAGTGGCTCTACATCCTAAAGCCAAGGCAGGGTCCAGACTCTGTATCTCACAGATGTGGGATGCGCTTCCGGGCCTGATGTCTCCGCAGGGGTACCGCTGAGGGACTGGCTCCTACCGCCTGGATGGGTGAAGAACGCTAACCCAGGGTTTCCAAAAAACGTGGGCCTGGAGCTCCCAGCATCAGGATCCCTTGAGAAGCAAACCCAGGTTTCCTAGCTCCACCTGGGCTTCAGACTCAGAATCTCCAGGGATGGGCTTGGACTCAATCTTGCATGTTCGATGAGCCCCCCATCCCGGGTTTGAGAACTATTGCACCAGACCTTCCTGAGAACTCATCTTGCATGTTCGATGAGCCCCCCATCCCGGGTTTGACCAGACCTTCCTGAGAACTCACTTCCTCCCCACTCAGGCCCCAGGGAGCTGGTAAACCCGCCACCAGAGACGGTTCTCAAGAACAGAGCCCAGATGGTCCCCCTTCCTACAGCCTTTGCAAGTCACGCCCTCTCTGTCCCAACTGCTCAACTCTGCACTGCAGTGCAAACACAGCCATCGACAGCACGAAAATGGACAAGTGCAAACGGATGAGCACGGCTATATTCCAATAAAACTTTATTTATACAGAAGGGCAGCGGGCTAGATCCATCCACGGGCTATATTTTGCCAGCCCCTCATCTGTACTGCTGACCCGTGGGTCAATGGTTACAGAAAGGCATGCTAGGCTTCTAAAAGCCCCTTCTGTCCTGGGATGTCAGCTCGAACCCATTTCTATTAACAAGGGTCAGAGCAGTGCTCCAATGAGGGGTCGAGGCCAGCCAAACCCAAGGCCACAAGGATTTCGGGTCTCTGCTGACAGCCTGAGTGCTGCCCTCAAGGGATCATGTGGCTGGATTGAGGGGTATCAGCCAGGGTTCTCCAGAGAAATAGAACCAATAGGATATTTATTTTTATCTATCTCTAAATGTCTATATATTTATACATCTCTTCTTTATACATGTATTTATATAGATGTATTTTAAGGAGTTGGCTCACAGTATTGTAGGGGCCAGCAAGCCTGACATCTGAAGGGCAGGTCAGCAGACCCTGCTTAGTCTGGAGCTGACGTCACAGTCTTGAGGCTGCGCTTCTTCTCCAGCCCCCAGCCTGGGTTCTGATGGCCGGATGGGGTGAGGCTCACCTGCATCATGGAGGGCAATTTTTACTTGACGTCAACTGCTGGTAGATGTTGACCAAGTCCACGCAATGCCTTCACGGCAACACCTAGATTAGTGTGTGATTAGACCCTCGGGTACCACAGCCCAGCCGGGTTGACACAGAAAACTGGCCCTCACAGGGGGGCACTTCCGGGGCGTGGCTCCCTAGGTTCAACTCCCAGCCAAAGCACCCAGGCCTGTGGCATGGCGGCCTCGGGCACATTGTGAGCTCTGGGCTTCCTCACTCCTTTGCCAGCTTGAGCATCAGGTGACAGCAGTGGCCGCTCTCTGTCATGTACTCGGGCACTCATGCCTAGTGTGCCTAGATGGTGTCTACTCAGTGTTGGGACATGGGATCCTGGTTGGAATAGGGTGGGAGAGGATGATGTGATGGACACATGACGGGGAGGCGAGTGGCTAAACAGAGGTACCCCTTTCCCTTCATCGCGCCCCCCCCACAATTGTGTATCCTGAACCCCACGTTTGTGCCTGGAAGATGGGGCAGGAAACCTGGGCTCCATCCACACTGGTGATTGGTCAGCACAATGGGGCAGGTTGGTCAGCTCTGCACGCTGTGACCCTGAACCGTCTCTCCATGTCCCCAGCCTTGACCTTGTGTCAGTGCCCGGCGCCGAGTGAAATACAGTAGTCCCCCCTTATCCACAGTTCAGCTTTCCGTGGTTTCAGTTAACTGCAGTCGATTACGGTCCGAGAATATTAAATGGATAATTCCAGAAATAAACACAGTTCATAAGTTTTAAGTTGTAAGCTCTTCTGAGTAGCGTGATGAAATCTCTAGCTGCCCCACTCCGTCCCGCCCAGGATGTGACTCATCCCTTTGTCCGGTATCTCCTTGCTGCATAGGATACCTCCCCCGTGAGTCACTTAAAAGCCATCTCAGTTATCAGACCGACTATCGGTGGTATTGCAGTGTTATGTTCAAGTCACCCTTATTTTGCTTGATAAAGTCTCATTCACCTCCCTTCATCTCATCGCGTAGGCTATTTGTCATCTCGCATCATCACGAGAAGCGTGAATCCAGCACAATAAGATATTTTGAAAGACCACATTCACATCGCTTTTATTACAGTATATTGTTATAATTGTATTTTATGACTGTTAATCTCTTACTGTGATTTATACATTAAACTTTACCATAGGTATGTATATATTGGAAAAAATATAGTATATGTAGGGTTCAGTACTCTCCATGGTTTCGGGCATGCGCTGGGGGTCTTGGAATGACTGATGGGGGATAAGGGGGTGTGGATAAGGGAGGAGTACTGTACATGTTTAGAGGAAATGCCTTCATCTGAACATAACCCCGGCCTCTGTTTATTGAGCTGTGTCCACTGCATGAGGCACTCATCCTCTCATATAGCCGGAAGAGGAAAACTAAGGCACTGAGAAATCAAGGCCACTTGTGAAAGTAATGCAGTGGTGGCAGTGCCAGGGGCCCCACCCAAGTCTCTCTGACTCCAACACCTGCTTATGTCCACCAACCCCATGCTCTCTCTCAAATGCCTCGAGTTTACTGAGCACCTCCCAGGAGTCGGTCGCCTATCCCCACACCCCACCTACCCACTCCCCAGCTCACAGAAGCTGTGTAGCTCATCCGGGATCACCAAGGCTGGGGGCGGGGCCAGCAGGCGACAGGGCCTCAGTGGAGCAGGCCCCAGAACTGAGCTGCATGACCTTCCTGCTGCCTCCTGAGGGGCTCCTCAGGGAAGAAGGAGGTCAGGTTTCCTCCCAGGGGCTTCCCAACTGGCGGAACCCCTGGAGGCACCCTGCCAACCCCTACCACCTGCTTCCTCATTCTTCTCTTATCTCTCCCGCTGCCTGAGCACAGGCTCCCCCACTGCCCCCGACTGCCCCCGCTCCCCTGCACGCAAGGGAGATGAGACTTCGTGGAGCCTGAGCAGAGCCAGCCAGGAAGCCGTCTCCAGTGAGCAGGATAAACCCCACGGCAGATAGCCTGGGGGCTGTGGGGCTGGGCAGCCGTAACTGGCCTTGTTTGTTTGTGTGTCTCGGCAATCTCAGATGTCCTGGAATTCCAACCCTATCTGCACGGAGAGACAGAAGGCTAGACAGAGAGCAGGAGAACTGGGACGTGGGGACAGGACCAGGACAGGCGGCGGGGGGCGGAAAGGAGTCAGCACACATTTAAAGAGGACCCGTGCGCGTGCGCGCGCACACACACACACACACACACACACGTGCATGTGCATACCCGTGCATGCCACACGTACACGTGATGACATTGAGAGGATCGCTGGGGTAGAAAAGGGGAACGAAGAAACGGCATAGGACAGAGTTAGGGAGCTGCAGGGAGACGAGGGGCTGTCTTTGTCTTTGTCTTGGGCAACAGCCTCTCTTTCTGGCTGGTGTCTAACGCAACCGCTGGTTCCTGGAATCCGACGGGGCCCCGGCAGTCTCCCTGTCTGCTTTTTCCATGCTCACCAAGCGGGGCACCGGGCATTCTGATGGGTTCCCTGATGCTTGACTCGAGCGTGCGGGTCTCTGAAGGGACACGGTAACATCACTAAGTGTTTGGTGAGGACTTGCTAAGATGAGGCTCATGCAGCAGTAATTTGCAAAGGACTCTGATGAGATGGCGAAGCAATAGGAACAGGAGGGATTACTGGCTGAGTTTTAAGGCTCAAGGGGGAGTAATCGAGGAGCCTAGCTGGGCCTATCAAAGTCAGCGATGGATGCTGCGTTGTTTGCATTCTGTGCCATTGGGACAAACTGTTCTGAATTGGCACCCCTTCGTTTTGGCTAGTCATAATACAAGTGTCTCCTCTGGAGAGACGGCTCCCACACCTTTCGACCATATCCAGGCTCCTCCAGAAAACCCAGGAAGAGGCAAGTAGCAGACTCCCCCACCCTGACTCCCTCCAGGCATGCCCCTCCCACCCCCCAGCAAGTCCCCTTCCTGCTTTAAGTGAGCGATGGGGTGATTTTACTGAGAAGTCATAATGACACTTGATACTTTCAGGATCTTGGCATAAACCAGAGCATGGGCCGAAGGACAGGGGATGAAGTGTGGGGGCCCAGGAGAGCCACCCTCACTCTAATCCACAAGCTTCTATTCAGTTCCTTCACTTCTGCCCATTTCCTGCCGTCTCTGCTTCCACCAGCTGGCTTCAGAGAGAAACAGAAGATCATGTCCACAGATACAAAGGACAGCATTGACCAACAAAACGCCAGGCCTTTCCTAATCCTGCCAGAATTTAGGCCAAGAAACACAGAGCCAGCATGTTTGTGACAAGCTAAGCAGAAGTGCTAGAGGACAGGTCTCCAGATTAAATCCCAGCGACATTCCCTGTGCCACCAAGGGCCACACTCTGCCCTCCAGACCCTTCTTTGATGTGCTTCTTGTGGAGGGCCCTGCTTTCCCACAGGCTCACGGGCCTTACAGACAGTGTTTTGGTGATTTTCTGTTTGTTTGATTTAACCACTTGGAAAAGGAAATGGCCAGGCCACATCAGAAATGTTGGGTGATCAAAGGACAGTTGGAAATCGTTCCAAAGCCTTTAAACTCGATGCCTCCATCATGTCTCACGCAGCCCCGTGGTTGGCTATTTCTGTACCTGTTTTCTAGATGCAGAAAAAAATTCAGAGGTTAAGTGACTGACCTAAGGTCTCATAAATGAAAAGTGGCAGTGCTGGGGGGTCGAGGCTGGGGGGCACAGCAAAGGAATCTGATGAGTCCTTTGCTGAGGCTGGGCTCCCAGGATTCGCTTGTAGGAAAAGGGACCTTTTCCTGCTGCTTCGGTCCTGGCATTTATTGTGGGCCAGGAGATGCCGAGAGATGCTGAAAGATGTGGCTTTTTTTTTCATAGCAGCAGGGCACCTATTTGCTCACTGAGCATTTACAAAGTGCCAGGAGCTGTGCCAGGCATTTTATGTAAATTATCTTGTGTGATTCTCATAATCACCCTGAGGCTAAATAACTTACCCAAGATCACTCTGCTGGGAGGGAGAAGGTAGGGATCCAAAAAATATCTTTACCTAAAGGACACAAGCAATCATAGGAAAGAAATGGCTGTGGCTGCTTCCCCAGCCATTTCCATAACCAGCAACATTGACCAAGTGACTTCCTGGGCAGAGCCTGGACGATGAGTGGTCCCCTGAGGACAAGCAAGGAGTCAGGCGGCAGGTCGTCCAGGTGCCTGTGATGAGAAGACGTGGTACACACAAACTTGTTCCGTTGGTGTATGTCGGTTCATTCCAGGAGCACCTACTATGCGCCAGGCAAGTGTTGAGGTTGCAAGACCCTCCTAGGACTTGCAGTCTAGTTGGGGGTGGGGCAGACAAGAAACAGATAAACAATTAAATTGCTAGGGCAATACTCTCAAATACTGATAACTGCTACAAAGAAAATAAGATCGGACTGTACAACCAACCTGGAAGACAGTTTGGCAATTTCTTAAAAAGCAAAATATACGCCTGCCACATGGACAGGTGGAATTCCAATGGTGGAATTCAGCCATTCCACCCCTAGATATTTACCCAAGCTGGTGTTCAATAACTATTCCCTGAATGAATGAACGAATGAATGAATGAACGAATTAATCTCTTCCTCATGTCAGTTTCTTTGTTGAAGTCACAAAGATAAAACTTGGCTGAGATAGACAGGATTGGTGAGGGACGTGAAAAATTTAAACTTCCTAAAGTGTGCTCCCTAAAAATGTATGACCCCAAAGCCTTGTGGCATGTGCTCTGTGGGGGTTCGTTTGTCCTTCCACGGCCACAACTGGGTCATGGCAGGAACCCTTTGAGAATAGTTTCTTTGAGAATAGTTTCGCTTTCCTTTGTTCGTGTGGGCTCCCTCCCTACCCCAGACAGCTGGACCTGTCCTCCCTCGCCGCGCCTGTGTGCTCCCTAAAAAAGTATGACCCCAAAGCCTTGTGGCATGTGCTCTGTGGGGATTCGTTTGTCCTTCCACGGCCACAACTGGGTCATGGCAGGAACCCTTTGAGAATAGTTTCTTTGAGAATAGTTTCGCTTTCCTTTGTTCGTGTGGGCTCCCTCCCTACCCCAGACAGCTGGACCTGTCCTCCCTCGCTGCGCAGCCCCAGCTGGTTGGGATGAATGCAGTGTCACTGGGTGAGTGGCAAGGACATTCCACAGACCCAGCCTTGTGCTTCATCTGGCTTCAATCTGTCTTCCCATCCTTCCCTTCATTCTTTGCGTCTCAGCCCAGGGCAGTATTTCCCTGTGATGTGCACAGAGGAGATGAGTGGCTGAATGTCAGGGTCCTAGAGCCAGACCTGCCTGGTTCCCAGCCCAGTTTTGCACCAATCAGTGACGTGCCTTCGGGCAAACCTCTTAACTTCACTTAACCCCAATCACCTGTCACTCTGGATAAGAGTAGTACCTACGGCATGGGTTTGTTCTGAGACTATGAGAATTTTCACACTCTTTTCCACAAAATAAACTCTTAATAAATGTCAGCTCTATCCCAGGAGTTGTTTTGTATTTTCTCCTTACGAGGTGATCACGGTCTTATTATACACCTACGGGCTTGGATTAAACACCTCTAGGATCTGGGGTGGATGGGAAATATTAGAAGGAAATCAATAAGTAATACTCTAATAACAATGTTATAATACCCACCACTTATTGAGGAATTACTCTTTTCTAGGTACTCTGCCAATAACAATAATTAACTAATAATTAATAATAATAATGATAACATAGCCAATCCTGATTTAGAGCTTACTGTCTGCCAGGAACCGTTCTAAATGTTTTTCATGTATTAACAAATGCTAACAACCCTTCGGGTTGTTCAACCAGAAAGTGGACAAAGCCAGAACTCGAACTCTGTTGCTCTGTTCTAGAGCTGTTCCTCTGTGCTCTAAATCTCGAAAAATCAAACTAGATGTATCCATTAGCCTGGTCTCTAAAAATTAACAGCTCTCAGTTAGAACGACAGATGCTGTGCTGCTCCGCCCCTGGGCTGGAGGGCTGTGTCTCCAAATAGGGCATTAAATTAGGCCAGTGGGCCCAGAAAAATCCTCTCTTTGTATATGAAGAGAGTACGTGTCTTGATGTGATCTGGGGATCTACCCAGGCAGTTTCACAGGTTCTCACATGGTTTCTCTCTTCCTGGAAAGAAGAACAAGTTCTCAAATGGACCCCAGGAGACCCTCAACCCAGGTAACTCTAAATGAAAGCTGGTGTTCTCCAAATCAAAGTTTTTTCTGGTCATGGGTGGAGAGGAGGCTGGAGGTAGCGAGAATTGATGTTTCTGTTGGGGTCGTCAACAGTCTTTGAGATACCAGGTGAGACAGCCCTTTCTTTCCTTAATTTCTTCCATTCACAGTTAAGGATCAAACAGGTGTCTTGACAGAATCTTCTCTAGTCTTCTTCCTTCTGGAGACAGGTGTGTCCTGCTGCTCTTCCAGCTAGATTTTTAAAAAGCTTTTAGTATGTTACCTCAAGTAGGAGCCAACCATCAGCCCCTTGTGTATTGATGATAGCAGTATCTTCTATGTGCTGCCTGTTTAGGAAGTGCCAACACTTGTTCTTGGCACTTTACCTTGACAAAAACTCCATCCCTCACCAAACTTTAATTAGACTTCCCTGGGCCCTCTCATGAACTTGGCCTCAACCTGGCCTCTGTGTCCATCCTGTTCTTGCTGGGTCTGCATAGTCTAGTTTTAGCAAGAATCCCCCTGCCTTTGATATCCGATCACCCTCAGTATCTGATCAAGTCCTTCACGCCCCACCTTTAAGGTCTAAGTCCGTGGCCTGCCTTTAGCAAGAATCCCATTAGGTCAGTTTAGCAAGAATCCCCCTACCCTTGGTGTCTCAGTAATTTTCCATCCACTGCCTCCTCACTTGGCTGCTTGGCTATAAATCTCCACTTGTTCTTGCTGTGTTCATACTTAAGCGTGATTTCTCTCCTCCCTTGCAATATCCCTATTCCAACAGTCCTGGGTAAAGTCTCTCTTACCATTTTAACAAGTATCAGAATAATATTTTTCTCAGAATAATTTTTTTCTCTAACAGCATGAATTCGTTCATTTATCCTCACAAGGATCCTATGAGGTAGGTCCTATAAATGCTTCCAGTTTAACACTGGAAAGTATGGAGGAGAGAGGATGCCCTAAAGGATGAGACTCCAGCCGTCGCCACATCCGCAGTTTGCACCTGCACATACTCTCAAGTTCTCCTGGCTGCACGTGGTCCCGTCAGTCCACCTGCTGGGATAGTAACTCGGCAAGATATCGGACCCTTTGAGACAGAAATCCTCAAGTTCTGCAGCAGTCTCCAGGAACTGCCTGAGCCGTGATTCGTGGGAGTTGGGAGCCAGGAGGAAGCGCGCAAACCCCGACGCCGTCTCCTAGCAACCGGCCATGGATCACGTGACTCGACTCACGTGGTCTGGAGCCGAGTTGGGGTTGGAGCCCAGGCGGCGGGCCGGGAGGGGCTGGCAAGTTTGCTTGCCGAGTTCGGAGCCCAGGAGTCCCCGCGGCTGTCGCGCAGGTGCCTTCCGCCTAGGTCGGGATGGAGCTGCCAGCCGTGAACCTGAAGGTGGCGACGGGCGAGGCGGGGCGGGGGTGGCCGCGCCAAAGGCGGGCGGGCGCGAGGCGGGTCTCCCCGAGTGTGTGGGGCGTTCGCTTTTTTAAAGTAGAATTTCAGAGGTGAGAGGACCGAGAGTTTGGGAAAGAGAAAGGATGGGGAGAAAGAGAAGGTACAGACCCCAGGTGAGAAGCAGACAGGCAGACAAATCGTGGCAGGGACAGGGAGCCAGGAAAAGGCCAGCATTGGGGACCGCGAGGAAACTGGAGGCGATAGGAGAGGAAAAGGGCCGCCCCCTCCCGGAGTCAGCCCCCTCCAGCTGCGACATCCCGGCCCCAGGGGACTGCTTTGGCCTACGCGCCCAGAATTCCCCCGGAGAAAGAGGAAGGCGCGGGGGAGGGGCCCACTGAGACCCGTACAGTGACTTGGTGGCGGGACACGTCCCCGACACAATGGGGCTAGACCTCTCACCTGGCCTCCCATAAACGCCTGGCGGCCTCCTTTCTTTGCTAAATCCGGTTAAGAAAATCAGATGTTCCCAGACAAGTGGTTTCCCAAAATTTATAAACCCAGCATTATTCCTTCCTAAAAACGAAAAAACAAAAAAACAAAAAACAAAAAAAAACCCACGAACTCCAATAGAAGTTGCTTAAAAGAAAACCCCAACTCTGTGCACTTAGGAAAACACTGCAGGGCTTCCGGGGGTGTCTTCATTTCCTGAGGCGCTTCCTCAGCCCCTCAGGATGCCAGTGGCTGTTCTTTTTCTCCCCGCCCACCCCCAGTCCGCTGTGCTTCTTGGCCGAGTTTGCGACAGAGGGACTGTGGCCTTGAGCTTTGGTCAAGAGGGCGTGAACCTTGGACCACATCTGCTGTTTAGGGTCTTGCTGCAGTCTCGTTTGAGACTATATCCAGGAATGCGCTTTTACTCACTAGCGACAAAGCGTTTTGCAGTGGGGTGTCCAATACCAAAGGAATCCGAGAGACAGATGACTATGAAACAGCACATCATCCATGTTTGGGCTATGAGACGCGGTCTGTGCTGTGACTTCACACAGGCAGACTTCCGGTAATCACACTCCGTGGGGCAAACCTCCCCAAAGCTTTTGGTCAACAGCTGCGTGCAGAGGTGCTAGAGTGAGGGAAAAGGCTTGGGTTGAAGGTTTAGCTGGGAAGAAATTTACGTGAGGGCAACTGAGGTCTCTTGGTATCCACACTCACTGTTCCAGGCAGTGTGGGGTTAATGCCAACTGCCTTTTCTCTGATTAGAGATTTGCCTAAAATAAAGCTAAGAGGAAATGAGGTGAGGGACAGACTGCAGGATTCGAGGAGGGAGACAGCTCTCTTCATGGGCATCCGTGGTATGCCAGGTTATTTATTTAATCACAACCACCTTCCGAGAAAGCTGAGACTGTCATCTTTCATGGCTGAGCAGACTTCGGCTCAGATCAGGTAAATAACTTGCCAAGGTCCCACAGGGATTAAGTGGCAGAGTCAGGATTTGAACCTACCAGGGTCAGACTTCAAAGCCATGTCCTTTCCTACCACCAGTTAGTTAGGGCTGATGTCTGCTTTGACAGTTTGTGTTCATCAGGAGAACTTAGTCTGTTTGGGGCTTTTTTTTTGAGCAACTTTATGGCTCTGACACAGATGTGAGCTGTGCTGGCTTTTGGTGCCCAGAATGAAATGCTGGTCCTTCCCTTGACCTAGGAAAAAAAGACCCCCTGTCTCTAAAAGTCTTCACTGCTACTAGTCAGAGACAAGTGCTGGGGGACCCTGAGGAGCTAGGGTTGTCAGGTAACATCCAGGACATCCAGTTGAATTTGAATTTCAGGTCGACAATGAATAATTTTTTGGCATAAGTATATTCCAGGCAATATTCCGGACATAGTACCAAATTATTCATTATCTGAAATTAAAAATTAACTAGGTTTTCTGTATTTTTGTTGTTAAATCTGGCCACCCTATAAAGGGCAGCTGTCGACTTCCTGCTTGCTGGAACTTAAGCAGGATGTTCTAAGACCAGGGCCCCGAGGGAGCTGGGGAAATGCACTCCGTGGACCTGTACTCACTCCTCGCTCATTTCGTACGTTCCTTGGGAATTGGCCCAATGCCTGCTCATGCCCAGCCAGAGTGGGCAGTGGTGCCAGGTGAGAAGAAACAGCTGCCCCAGGCCCTTTGCACCAGAGGCAACCCCTAAATGAGTCCCATCTGTGAGGCGAGTCTTGAACTGGAGGAATGACATCGTGACAAGAAGAAAGGACTAGACTTGGCTTCATGAGGTCTTGTGGAAAGAAGCCCTTGGGAAGGAGGTAGGAATGTGGTGGGAAGCATAGCATTAGGTTGAGGACGCAGGAAGCCGGCTTCCTATAGCAGTGGGGGCAGCTGCGGAGCAAGGGCTGCCTACCTGGTAGGCCCTGTGTCAGGTGTTTCACACGCCTCTCCACCTCCCTGTGCCACCAGATTCACACGACAACCCTATGAAACAGGCATATCGTCCCTACTTTAGGGAAGAGCAAGCAGCAGTTCTGAGAAGTCAGGTGACTTACCCAAGGTCACACAGTCTCTGCAGCATGGAGCCGGGATCTGTATATTTGGCTGCAGCGCTCATGCAGTTAACCACTCACTGCCTGACTCCCCTCCCCTCTGGGGCAGCCGTGACTCATGTCCCTTAGCCTCAGCCACCCTCGGGGATCTCACTATCTCCCGTAACAGGTCAGGGAGCATATGCCCAGGGCTGGTAGGAGTAGATGCCATGTATTGATCTGTGTGTGGATCTGAGAGGTCTGTCCACCACCTGTTTGGGCAGTCCCCACCCCCCCATTCCTTGTGTTCCTCTAGTGGCAAGTTCGCAAGACCTCTTGGCTTTCCCTTAGTCTCCCCTTCTCCACATTAAACCTCATTTGCATCCGCCCTTCCCTTGTTCTTCCAGATCCTGACAGTGTAGCACAGTGGATAGAGCACAGGCCTTGGGGCCAGAGAAACCCGCATTCAGGCTGGGCTTTCCTACTTATTAGCTCTGTGGCCTTGAACAGGTGTCTTAACCTCTCCTAGTATCAATTTCCTCACTGTGAAAGGATAAAAATAAACCCCTTCTTCTAGGGTGATAAGAGGAGGACCCAGTGGTCCAGGAGGCGGTGTAGCATTACGTTTTTATTGGCCTTAAACTGAGACCAGATAGACCGAGTCCGAGATTTGCGTCTGGGCTCTTGTTTATAAGAGTACAGTTTGGGCCAGTTACTCTCTCAAAGCCTCAGTTTCTTCATAAGTGAAACAGGATCAGTACTCTCCCCCCTATAGTTGCAAAGATGACACAGGTCAGGTGTTCAAGGCAGTGTGGAAACATGGCAGGCAGATCCTCAGCAGCAGTGGGAGATGCTGTTAACGCTGTCGCAGAATGCCTGTCCCATCCAGGTACTTTTGGTTATTAGGTGGATACATACAGTGACTGTCCAGATGCCGGTGTCTCTGTGGTTGAGGCACCCCTGTGGGACATCCGGGTGATAGGTATTGCCTTGATTTCATAGAGAAGGAACCTGGGGCTCAGACACAAAGGGGTATGGGCCCTGGACCAGAACCCTCCTCTCCTATCCCCAGTCCAGCATCCTACAGTCCCCTGTCATCAGTCCGTTGGTCTTCGGACACATGGACACCATGCGGAAAAGAGCCTGGCCGCCCCCCTGGGCTGAGCGCTGTGTGAAGAGGCGAGGGGTCAGGACTTTCTTTCCTCTTGCCCAGCCAGGAAAGGTCAGGCTGCCCAGGCCCGTTCTCAGATCGAGGCTTCTCCCTGCCCCATTCTCTGCTGCGGTGCCTAAGAATCTCAGGTGTCCCCTTGGTTACCAGAAATCGCCCCCAGGGCCAGCAGACAGCTCTTTTATGCTGAGATGAGTCACTGTTCCCTCCTCAGGGCTCTGGGGAAGGGTGGGGCCGGTTCGGCTCCATGTCTTGTTGGTGATTTCCTGGACTTTAGACCTTTCTAAGCCTGATTACTAAGATAGGGAAACTGAGGCAGAGGGGGCTTAGTCTTCAATGAGTTCCTTTTCCCAGGGGCTTAAGAGAAGTGATCAGAGAGTATGAAGTTTCTTAAATATTTATAAAACAAAAGGGACGTCACGCAGAGGGGACCGTATGTCTTCTGAGGATCTGCCATATTTCTAGGTTATGCTCTTTTCCTCCCCAAAGAGACAGTATGGCTTTCAGCCTTAGCTCACTGGTCTTACAGGCCCTTCCGGCTCTGGGAAGAATCTTCGTCTCATTTTCTCCAGAGTGATTTCCCCACAGGTTCCCCATGGATCAGCTGCCCTCTTGGGTCCCCACCTGTCATCTCACCCTAATAAAGCTGGGCTCTGCAGGGCCATTCATTACAGACCCGTGGGTGCAGTGGTTAAGGACCCGTTGTGTGCACAGTGTAGACGTAGGAACCAGAGCCCTGGGAATCAAAGACAGGCCTGAAATAGAAGCCAGCGGGGAAGGATCCGGTGTTGACGTTCGGGAGAAGGATGGTGATGTGAGCCGCCTTCCCTGTGCCTCGTTTTTCCATGTCTTCTCTTAGCCCGAAAGCTGGGTACCAGGACCACTGCAGCGGTCCGCTCAGCGTGGTTTTGGCAGATCCCTTGTGCTTTGTGGGCAGGATTTCCTGTTCAAGCAGACAGCGGTGGCTGGCTCTCAAGATAAATACCAGAATTCTTCCCCACACTGCCCAGGCCCGGCCCTGCGCGCCCCCCAGCTTCCTTCCCCTCCCCAACTCTTCTCATCTTCTACGCCAGTCATATTGGCTTCTTTCAGTATGCAGAACGTTCCACGCTCCCTTCTGCCACAGAGCAGGTGATGTCCCTTCTGCTTGAAAAGCTCTTTTCTCTCTGCCCCTAGACAACCCCCGCCCCCCCACCCGCTCACCACTTTCATCTTGGCTGAAATGTCACTCTCAGGGCCTCAGCACCCCACTCCCCCACTTCCCCTGATGCAGAGCGAGGTTCCTCTCCCTTTGCTGTAATTTGCCTTCTGAATGGGGTCTCACTGGATTCTTCATTCCTGAAGTGCTTGTCGGGATGGGTGAATGTCCCCTACTGGGGAGGGCAGCACCACATTGCTCCGCTGGCCATCGATTCCCCAGGGTTGTTGAGTTAAACTGTAAATGTTTAAGAAACTTAGAACCATCTGATCACTTCTCTGAAGCTTCTGGGAAAAGAAACCCATGGAAGACTGAGCCCCTCCTGCCTCGGTTTCCTCATCTCCGTAATGGGGAGAGGACACCCGCCCAGGCCCAGAGAGCCTGGTAGTCGGACGACATCTGGCTTATGGTTGGGTTTGAACCCTGGCTCTGCCGCTGACCAGCTGTGTGACCTTGGGCCTCAGTTTTCTCAATTATAAAGTGATACCTCAGAGGCTTGTCAGGCTTAAATGAGTTCACATACAAGAAGTACTGAGAATGGTGCCCGACACACGGGAAGAGCTCAAGAATACAGAGGTAGATGATCGCGAAGATTCCTTCTAGAGCTGGCCTCCTGTGATGTACAGGCCCGCCGCCCTTTTCAGTCATGGGACCTCCGAGTTGAGTGCATTAGTCCTTACAGGATTATGTTCCTAGTCTTCTGAGTTTTGGGGGCTGTGGAGCCAGACCCCTTTTAGTTCACTCGCACTGGGCACTCTGGTGAAGGCGGGGTGTCCCAGCCCTCGGCTCCGGTTTCGCCTCCCCGCTGTGTGTGGAAAATGTCCACGTTTGTCGCAAGCCCACAGTCCTCAGCTGAAGGCTCGGGCCTCCACTGTGAAGGGCAGGGGAACTGGTTCTGGAGTCAGACTTATAATTTAATTCCAGCTTTTCTGGTTGCCATCAGTGAAATCTTGATCAATTTTGTTTACCTCTGAGCCTAGCTTTCTCATCTGTAAGATGGGAATGATAACAGAATCTGTTCCAGAGGCTGTTGCAAGGCCCAGAGAAGGTGCAAGGTGTTTGGCACAGGGCCTGGCACATAGGAGGTACGCAATAAATAGTCTTCTAGAAACGCTTTTCCCTCCTCAGCCAGAGTTCTTTATGGCAGGTGGCAACTTCTCCTTCTGCCCTTTCACCAGACCAGAAACCTGGGCCTTTTACAGCAAGTCGGCACTGTCTGCCATCCCTGCCCCTGCCCCAGGCTCTCGGCGTGCCCTGCTCCCAGCTCGACCCCTCAGTCCCTTGAGTAAACTCCTTCAAGGGCGCCACTGGCACTCCTGATTTGGGGCTCCTGGCCTCCCGTAGTTTCACAGCCACCCCTACCCCCTCCATATGGCCACATCTTCCTCCCCAAGGCTCTGAGTCCTGCCTCCCTGGCTGGGCTTCCGTGCGTCCTCTCTGGAACACCTCGCTCCTCCTTCGCCTGGCTGACTCCTGCTCACCCTTTGGCACCAGCTCCAGAATTCTCTCCTTTGCAAGCTCTAGTTAACAGCTGCCCTGCCCTTTGCATACCAGCTGCTCCATCCTTTATTTGAGTCCCCGTCAGGGCCCTTTCGATGACCAGGAGTGGAGACCACTTCGAGTTGAGGGAGCTATTATTTTAAGGACACGTGAAATCTAGAAAAAAGCCAGAGGGTTTTTTTTCTCTTAACGTAAATCATACCAACTTCCTTGCAGAAAACCCTCCAGTGGCTTCCCTCCGTGCACTCAGGATGAAAGCCACACTCCTTTCCGAGGCCCTCAAGGTCCCTGCCACCCGGCTGCTCTCCTGCTCTTCGGATGCCCCCAGCATCCCCTCTGCCCCGTACCACACCCCAGCTCCAGTGTCCCAAGGGATTAGCCTCTCTGAGCTTCCCACCTCCACCCGCTGCCATTTCTCATTGAAGCCTCCGATTCCAGAGCAGATTCCCAGGTTCCCTAAGGGCACCTCCAGCCTTTGTTAGCAGAAGAGGTGTGGGTGTCACCTTCCCCGAGGGAATGGGGAGGGGTGCCGTGGCCTGTGCTCTTCCTCCCGGTTCACTTGCCGTTGCTGGTGTTTCTCTTCAGACATTTGTGAAGCCCTCTTAGGTGCTGGCCTCCTGTGCTTTCTGGCTCCAAAAGCGTCCCCATGCCCTGCCGCCATGATGGTCATATTTACAGATCTCTTTCTCCTGTCCCCTCCCCCCCATTTTGTGCCACAGATGATCCTCCTGGTTCATTGGCTGCTGACGACCTGGTGAGTGACTCCACAAGTGTCTGGTTCTGTGTCCACCTGTCTCCAGGCCAGTTCCAAAACTAAATAGCACCTTTATCAAGAGCATCATTAGCAACACCCGCCCCCAACACCCCAAGAACAGGCAGGGCAGGCAATTCCCAGGTCTTCGCCATCACTCCCTCCCAGGCGCTTCCAGCCCTCATCCTAGGGGAGCTGGCTGGCCCAGGGCAGTGCCGACAGCTCAGATTCTTCTCCACTGCCCAAAGCCCTTTGGGGCTTGGCGTAACTCTGATTCCTCCCCAAGGCCTTTGCATCTGGGAGATCTGAGGTGCTGAAGCCTGGGGGCAGATGTCGCACGTTCCCTGAGGCAGCGGTAGGCTGGGCATCAGGGTTCTGTGTCTGCGATCTTGGGTGAGTCACTTAAATTCCCTGAGTCATTTTCTCACCCGTAAAATAAGAGCATTACTGACCCTCCCACTTATTTTTTAAGGTTATTAGAAGGTGAAAGCACGACTTTGTAAACTGTAGTAACCACTAATATCTATTGAGGGTGTCCAGGTGCCAGCCACTGGGCCAAGTGCCTTCTGTGGGTTAGCTCAGCAGCTCAGACATGTGACGAACCCAGCACAGGGGAGAGGTCACTTGCTTAGGGGTGGACCCTCACTCTTATATCACACCCCCGCCTGGAGACATTCAGGTGGACCCTGGTCATGTCCTGGCTCCACCATGTTCCATCCGGGTCACCTTGGGCAAGCGACTCCACCTCTCGTTTCCATCTGTAAAATGGGCACAAGGCCGGCACACTCCTCAGGAGCCAGGAGGGAGAAGCAAGGCCATGCCCATCAGACACTGCCCAGGGCCTGCCACAGAGGGCGGCTCGAAATTTGCAGGACTGACTCGTTACTGCCGGCCGTTTTATCTGTTGAGCTTCTGGGGAGATATCTCTGCCAAACCAAGAGCAGAAACCATTGAGCTCACGAGTGCATTCTGCAGATTCTGAAGAGTAGTGTGCACGTAAATGGCTGTGAATAATGTGAACTGTGATAATCATGGTTAATGACCTCGGAGAGCTAGGTCCAAAACACATTTCTCGGTCACTCCTCTAACTTCTGAGTTGGTGAGTTTGGGTTGAGGCCCCAAAACTTACGGGGACCACTGAGCCTAGTTACACTCTACACTTCACTGCTTTGCACGTGGTTTTTGTACGGTGCACGTCAGTGAATGTCATTTAAATTTATGAGGCGCCTCACTGCGTACTGGGGCAGTCTAGGCCCAGTGGAAATGGTGAGTAAGAGCAGGCTCTCTTGAGCCAGACTGCCTGGGTTCAAATCCCAGCTCCGCCACTTAGCAGCTGCAGGATCTTGGGCAGGTTACTTGACCTCTCTGTGCCTCAGTTTCCTCACCTGTAAAATGAGGATCGTAATAATGTCTCCTCCTTAGAGGAATGCACATAAATGAGTTAATTTCAAGCATTTGGAACCGTGCCAGATACTAGTAAGGCCTTTATGTTAACTCTTATTTTTGTTGGGTTGACACGTAACTAAATATCAGTTAGTAGCAATACCCTAAAAAATAAAATAGAGTGGGCATTGTGTTAGAAAGTGACGAGGTTGTACTTAAAATTGGGTGGTCAAGGAAGGAATCTTGAGCTGAGACTAAAATGACAAAAAGGGGCTAGGTGTCCAGGGTAGAGGGGTCAGCACAGGCAGTGGCTGGGAGGTAAAGGAGGGCTTTACCTCCCACAGGGCTCCGTAGGCCATGGGGAACAGTCTGTTTTATTCCCAGTGGGACAGAAAACTGTTGGATTTTTAGCAGAGGCGTGACACCATGTGATTGATATCGCTGGTTGCTATTTTGAGAATGGCCTGTAGGGGGCAGGAGTGGAAGTAAGGAGACCAGTGCAGGAGACTATGGTGGTAAATCCTGGTGGGAGAAGATGATAGTTTGAACCAGAGGGATCCAATTAGGAAGCAGAGCCAATGGGATTTGCTGACATTTGTGGCACACGGCTGGGGAGGAGAACAAGTGCCTTGTGGCCTGGCAGACTGTGGCCTCTTCTCAGAGTGGGCCCTGAACCCCGGGAGCTCAGGGAGATGACCTGTGGGAGGGGCTGGGCACCTGTGTGGCGGTCACCTCCAGACTTGACTCAGGTGTGTCTTCCTGCAGGGGCTGCCTCGTGTTCTTGGGCCCATATGCCTGGGCCAACTTCACCATCCTGGCCTTGGGCGTGTGGGCCGTTGCCCAGCGGGACTCCATTGACGCCATAAGCATGGTGAGCTGGGGAGCAGTGCGGGGAGCTGGCTTCCCCTCACTCGTTCCAACCTTCTCTCTCTTCCTTGTGTCCGCATTTTCCATTTTCTAAAGCCTTGCAGATAAGCCCACCCAGGCTGCCAGCCCACATGTTTTTACTGGCCTGGCCTGCTTCTCTGCTTACCTGGCTCAGGGAGCCCATTGTCTTCCCCAAGAAAGGTGTGGGGCAGGGTCCCACCAGCGGCCCAGTTGGCCACTTCCCAAAGGCAGTGGAGCATGTACCCAATAGTGCTCTTCAAGACCCCCATTAGGAGAGAGGGATGTGGCTGGGAGACCACGAAGAGGGAACTCCAGTACTTTGTGAGATCAGAGTGGACACAGCCTGGCCGAGCTCTCCCTCGGGGAAGCTTCCCGACACCCACTAAGCCCCAAGGGGCGGTGAGCATTCCAGCACAGCCTCTCAGTGTGACTGAGGCTGGGCCTCTTGGGATGACAGAGAAGGGGTTTCCTTGGTCATGGAGACAGATAGGGCGAACTCTGAAGAACCTTCCATCTCAGAGGAAGCAAGTTTTGTGCCTCCTCGTGACATCAAGGGCGACAGGAAGTGGTGGAGGCTCCGGTGGGGCTGCAGGCTGGGTCTAGGCCGAGTCCCTGCCCCAGCCAGGCAGTCCCGTCGGGCGTCTCATCCGCAGGGTCCTGCCTGCTTGCTCGATCTGGTTTCCAGCAGACGCTAAGGGACACACAGTAGGGCACAAACGGAGCTTCTGGTCTGGTGTCTGTGGTGGGAGAGTGATGGGGACGTGGCAGAGCATCGATGACGTGGTCACTGCTGGGCCCTGCGCCGGCTTGTCTTGCAGTTTCTGATTGGCTTGGCAGTCACCATCTTCCTGGACATCGTCCACATCAGCATCTTCTACCCACGGCAGAACCTCACCGACACGGGGCGCTTCGGCGCCGGCATGGCCATCCTCAGCCTGCTGCTCAAGCCGTTCTCCTGCTGCCTCGTCTACCACATGTACCGGGAGCGCGGGGGTGAGCTCCAGCTCCACGCTGGTGAGACCGCACCCTGCTGCCCTCTACGAGTCCCCTCCCCCGGGCCAGGTGACAGGCCTGCCATCTCCCCACGTCTCCTCTGTCTCTGCCTTGCCTAACCCACAGCCCCTGCCCCAGGGAGCTGACCTTGCGCCGGTGGGTGAGAGCTCAAGGTGCAGGAGGGGTTTGGTGTGAGTGCTATGCGCCCGGCTAGAAGATGCGCCCGCTGCTGGTCTCTGCTGCCGGAACTCCGTGGTCCCCCGGCTGTCCCAGCTTGGCATGACCTTTCCCTGGCATCAGGCCATGAGCAGAGCTGGAGGCAGTGGCCAGGCCTGCCCTCTGAGCTTGAGCACAGATGCAGCTGAGGCTGTGATCCAGCTCCATGGGCAGCTCTGGGCAGCTCTGCAGCCTGAGGCTTGAAGGCACCTGCAGGGCTACCTTCTCTCAGCTCCCACTGACCCCATCCCTGGAGCCCCCTTCTCCTGCCTTCTGGGGTCTGGGTGGCCAAGGAGGAGATGGTGCTGGCATGGGCCAGGCCGCCTCAGCTGAAGACAGCGCTGAACTGCAGGCGCTGACCCTGCCAACCAGCCCCGCCCCAGGCCCTGGCCCAGCCCCTCTCTGCCCCGCCCACGGCCTCTCTGAGCTCTAGTCCCTCTGCTCTCTCCATCACACATTCTCATTTCCTTTCTCTATCTCAGAGAGAAGGAGGATGAGGTAGGTGTGGTCTTCTACGCCTCACTATTGAGAAGAGAGGCCCAGGGTGATCCTGCACAGGGAGCGGCTGGGCCAAGGGCAGAAGTGGCCTGTGTTTCCCCCAGGCTGAGGGGGAGCCAGTAACTCTTCTCCCATTGGGTAGATGGGGAAACTGAGGCCCAGAGCCCCTGGGGCTTGTTCAGGATGAAAGGACAAATGAGCAGAGTAGGGACAGGAGCGAGGAGCGTGGGCACTGAGAGCCTCCCACCTGCCTTGCCCCGCCAGCCCTGGCTCTCTGGCCTCTGCAGCTGTGCCAGGCTCTGGAGCCCCTGGATGTAGGAGCCTGGCAGGCATCCATCCCGCCTGGGAGAGGGGCTGGAGGGAGCCGCAGGTCCAGGGCTGGGCGTCCTCAGCCCGATTCCTGCACATGCGCTGCTCGGGGGAGCACCGAGGCGGCGTGGCCCAGAGCCCTGGCTTGGGGGTCGTGCTGCCTGTGTTTGAATCCCAGTCCTCAGCTTCAAACTGTGCGATCTCAAGCAAGTCCGTTCATCTCTTGGGCCCCCAGTTTCCTCATCTATGAAGTGGGGACAATAAAAATACCTACTCTGTAGGGTTATAGGAAGAGTGAACGAACAGTATGTGCTAAACAAAGGCTTGGTGCCTGGGGCCGTGGCTGCCATCACTGTCCTGGGTGCCAGGATGCCCAGCTCCGGCCTGCTTGGTGGGGGCTGGAGTGGATCTTGGTTTGGACTCACTGGAATGTCCTGAGTCCTTACCTGTCATTTTTTCTTTCTCTCCATCTCCACGCCTCTTAGGTTTTCTTGGACCTTCACAGGACCGCAGCGCTTACCAGACGATTGACTCGCCAGAGGCACCCTCAGACCCTTTTTCTGGCCCGGAGGGCAAGAATCACAGCCCCCAAGGGTACTGAAGCCAGCCCTGCCCGGCCGGGCCCTGGCACAGGGGCATTTGACAGGCTCCCAGGGAGGCCCAGGCCGCGTAGCCTTCCTCCCGCCCTGGACGCCGCTCCAGGGCTGCTCCTCGCCCCGCCTTTCTTGGGCCGAGCATGGAATGTGTCCTCCCACGTCCTGTCTCGGGTGTTGCCTGACCGTCTCTGTGCACACACCTGTCCCGAGCGCCCCGAGGCCTTCCCTTCCAGGAATCCCACTGGGCGCAGGCTGGGAACGAGGTCACTTTCCTCACTGCCCCCCTCAGCTGCTCCGTGTAGGCCCCGGTCAAGCCACACCTGAGCCTGGCAGGGTCCAGCCTCTAAGGCCAGTGATGCCCCCTTTCCGGGGCGTCCTCGCAGTGTGTCAAGCCCTCCTGCAGAAGCTCCGTGAGCTTTGGGTCATGCTCAGCCCCAGGAGCAGTCCAGCATGGAGGTGAGGTCCTTGCGTCTCTCACTGCCTGGGCACTTGGTGCCTATGGACCCCAAGGCTGGAGGCAGGAGGTGTGTGTAGCCCCTGAGACCCACCACAGCCTCCAGCTGCCCTCTCAGCCATGGCATTAAAGTTCAGGGGATTCTGTAGCTAGATGTGTGTCGAGCCATGATTAATCACCCAGCGGGCTGGGGCCTGTCTGCATTCGTGGGAAGCTTTCCCCTGCGAATTCCCAGGCTGCCTGGGCTTAGCTGCCCATTCCCTCGTGGCAGGAGGAGGCAGAGGCTTGTGACCAGCTGGGCCTGCCCTGCACCCAGCTCTGGCCTAGCTGAGGCCCTAGCAGAGGAGGACAGTCTTCCAGGATGTCTGTTTCTCTGAATCAGATGACTCCGGTGTTGGTTTGAATCTTGCTCTGCCACTGACTGGCTGTGTATCCTCGGGCAGCTTAGCCTCTCTGACCTTGGTGTCTTCTGGACAAGTGCTAACGCCTGCCGAGGGGTGATGCTGCAAATGACGTTAAATGTCTGGTCCACAAAAGGGCTCCCGAAATGACAGCAAAGTTGTTAGTGGGGTTGCTCCTTGAGCCTGTGATGATGGGTCAGAAGGTGACAGGCAACTTCTTCCTGGCTGACCCTGGCTTGGCCTCAGAGCTGACTGGGACTGACACATGTCCAGAAGCCCCAGCAGCCCCATGGCCAGGGCCCAAACCCACTCTGACTGGGGTGGACACTGACCACTGGGCCCCCGGTGTCTGGGCTTCCCTGGTCTGGTCCACAGGGGTGAACTCCGGTGCCTACTCTCAGGGAACAGATGTTCAGAGTCCTCTGCGGGAGGCAAGACTCCCGGGAACAGGGAAGGACCTCGTGCTCTGAGGCCAAGGGACGCTGTGTGCCGCAGCCATGGCAACGGAAAACGGCCTCACTGTCAGGAGGGGGCGGACAAACAAGCCGTGGGACGTTCATCCTGTGGAATCTTGTTCAGTTGCGGTGAATAAACCAGACAGACCTGTTTCTGTCAGCATGAACAGAACGGTGCGGGGTGGCGTCTGCAACAGGATGGCACGGCTGTGAATTTCAACACCACAGCAGTACCACGCATTATTCTTGGGCGTAGATGCAGTAAAATATAAAAGTGTGGCCCAGAAGGGCACGTGTCACGTTCATGATTGTGGCCACCTTGGATGGGGGAGGGGTGCAGCCAGAGGGGAATGGGACGGAAACTCTAGTTCCTGGCAGGTGGATCCTGCATCTGTGTCCTGAATGTGTCAGAATTCCAAAGGGAATGAAAACATGAGGGGGGAAGCGTTGGGCAGGAGGGGTGGATAACAGAGCCTGTGCCAAGCAGAGGGGTAGTATAATCAGAGACCCCAATCTGACCAGAACTCTGGGGAGGGGGCAGTGGAAGGCTCCTGTCTTAACTGTATTCCCCAGAAGCAGACCCTGACATGAATTGAAGTGTGTGACTTGGTGCAAAGCAAGGGAGCTGGACTTTCTTGGTCGTTGGCCAAAGGCAGCTCATGGACACTTTCCCAAGAGTTAGGGAGGTGGCTTAAATATCCAGGCTAGCTGGTCACATAAGGCAAAGTGGCTCTAGGAGCCTGAGCACCGTCCTACAAGGAGAGGTTACCAGAATCGGTGAGGACCACCAGTATGGCTATCCATTTTCCACACCACCGGTCTCATGAGGGAGAATGTCTAACATTCATTCAACAAGCAATCGAGAGCCCATGGGAACTAGGCAGTGTTCCGGAGGCCGGGGGTACCAGAGAGGTACCTGGGAGATCCTACCCCGCATGAGAGGGAACAGCTCAGCAGAAGGCCTGACAGGGCACGTGCCTGCCCAGCCCGTGGGAGATGGGGGGGTGGGCACCGGAGGGCAGTGAGGCTGGCGCCAAGGGGAGAGGGAGTGAGTGAGCAGTGGGGTTGGCCAGGTGCCACGTGACGCATATGCTTAGGCGGAACAAAAGAGTATACATGGAGCCCGAAATGGCAAGGCATTCTCACACAAGGTGACAAGCTGGGCACAGGCTGTGTGGGCTCTTCAGCTCTCAGAAAGTGTTCCAGTCCCTGAGGCCCACTGTGACAGCCGACGGGTTGGAAGACAGCAGGTGGGAGACTGTCTTGCCCAACAAGGCAGCTCCTGGATGCTTTTCAAAGGCAGAGCAGCAGGATTCACTGATGGACTGGGTGTAGGAGGAAGAGAGGAGCCCATGATTGCAAGGTTTGGGGCCCGAGCAGCTGGAGGCTGGAGTTGCCACCAACCAGGAGAAAAGACGGCGGGAAGGCCAGGTTCAGGGCAAGGCCGGTCACTCAGTCTTAGGCCACACAAGGTAATGGAACTTCCAACCAGCCTGTCTTACCACTTCATTCTTTTAAAGATACCAGCCTCTGTAAGGACGTTAAATAGTCTGTATTTTAGTCTATGAGCATCTGACATTCTACAAACTGTCAACTACAAGAAGCAAATTTCTCTTAACTCCTCCTGGAGAGGGCTGAAGTCATTCATCTAGTTTACAAATCTTGTATTTCTTGTTTTCTCACAAAGCTGAGCCTTCCAGATGATGAAGCAACAGGAATTGCCCCAGGGTGGCCACTGTATTTTCCTGTTGGCCAAAACCAGACCGGAGCCCCCCATCGTCACCCCGCCCCCACCTCAGACCAGTCCTCAGAGTCTCCAGAACAGTCTGGAAATTCCAACTCTCACAGCCTCCCTCCAAACCAGCTCTAGAACCAGTGAGCCCGGGTTTAAATGCAAACAGCCCTTTGCGACTGGGAGAGACCAGTTTCTTAACCTTACTATGCCTCAGTTTCCTTATCTGAGAAATAGGGATAATAATAGTGCCTGACTCGGGGATTCGTGAGGATTGAAAATTCATAACATGTTTAATAAATGTTAGATCTCATTACCCGTATTCGGAGAGAGGGAGGGGGCAGCCAGCGTAGAGGAGGAAAAAGTTTTCCTCAACTTTCTTAGGGTCCCTGGTTGGGTCGGAAAAGTAAACTGACAAAGATTAACAGGAGAAAAGCCTACAAATTTTATTGAATTTTTATCTGTACATGGAAGCCTTAGCAAGAGAATGAAGACCAGAAGAAGTGACCAGAGCGGGAAGCTTTTACACCATTTGGACAAATTCGTGAAGAATTGATAAGACAGATGGGTTTGAAGATAGGGGTAGAACTGCTGAAGAAGTAGCTAGGAAGGTAAGGGTTAGTTTAATGAGGCCGTCTACACAGATTTCTCGGCCATGAGTTCCCTGTCTCTGGTGACAAGAGATAGGGAACCTTCCACGTGGGAGATGTACGTTTCAGGGACATAGGGTGTGTGTTGGGGGGTCAGAGTGACCTTCCTGCTTCTGCCATTTTCTCGAACTCCTTCAGTTTAAGATGTTTAATATGCCATGGTGCCATGTTTTGGGGGTAGTGTGTCCCGAACCCCATCACCAGTCTGTCTGACATTCCACTCATGTACTCACTGATTAATACCTATAAACATTTATTGAGCGCTTTCTATAAGGGTTCAACAGACTGAAAAAAATTGTCAAGAAGTAAAACGGAGATCTGCACTGGCAACAACAGGACTCTGAGGGTCCAGTTCTCCAGGGGGCTGAGGGCTTATATGCACCTGTCAGTCCAGAGACTATCGACAGAGTCAACAGGTTGTTATAAAACATTATCACCTTGGAGATCTAAACGCAAAATCACAGATTTGAACTCGACGGGAGCGTGGAGCCCAGTGGTTCGAAAGTCTACTTTATTTCATACCCTTTGTTCAGAAGAAATCTTACCCAGGATAGCAAACAGAGTTTGTCTGCTGGGCACCCCCCCACCCCCTACCGCCACATCCACTGTGACCCCCAGAGCACACTCTGATAGAAACCAATCCCCTTATTTCACAGCTGGGAACACAGACCCAGCAAGTGGAGACTCAAACAAGGACAGAAGAGACTTCTTGATTTCAGAGCCAGAAAGTAGCAACGTATAGACTGGGATGCCAGGTAGGGATTAAAAGGAAATAAATAGAACTTCTACAAATGAAAAACACAGTGAGTGAAATTAGAAACTCAGTGAATAGGCTAATTCATAGAATATATATACGAGAAGAGAGAATCAGTAGCCTCGAAGATAGATTCGAAGGAATTTTTCGGAATGCAGCATAAAGAGACAGAAAATATGAGAAAATAAGAAACAGAATAGAGTGAGGTCCGACATAAATAAAATCAGAGTTCCTGCAGGGGATTGTGGGAAAGAGGCAACATTCAAAGGAATAATGAATGACAGGATTTTCCAAAATAGACATCAAATCTCAGATTCTGGAAGTCAAATAATCACTAAGCAGCAGCAGAAGAAGAAATCCATGCTCATAATCCTCAGAATGGAACTTTATTCTTTATTCACTGATGTATTTTCAGCACCTGGCACAGTGCTGACACCCGGTAAATTTTTTATAAAAGGTGTAAAATGAATGGGTGAACGAAAAACTGCAGAATACCAAACACAAACATTAAGATCCCCAAAGCAGCCAGGTAGAAAAGATATCATCCTAAAAGAAGTGACAAATATGCCAGCAGCTGATGGCTTCGCAGTGACAATAAACATCAGAAGCTAGGAATGGTATCTTCAAAGTGGCGAGAAAATAACTGTCAGCCTAAAATTGTGCACTTAGGGAGTTATCTTTCAGGAATGAGAATGAAATAAAGATGTCTTTAGAGACATGACAACAGACGCCCTCAATACAGAAACAAACATCGAAAGAATCTTTTTCTGGAAGAAGGAAATTTTTCCATAAGAAACTGACATGCACAAAGGAAATAGGAAATACGTGGTTTATTATTCAAGACAATAATGATTTATTTCAGGAGGAGCAAATCAGAGACGACATAAAGTCCTCTTTTTGCATCTGGATTAACTTTGTCAAATTAAATATACATGCTAAAATGTTGTGGGCAGCCATCGAATGAATAAAAATAGAATATGTAATTTCCAAGCCAGTTGTACGGGAAAAAAAATAAAGAGGAAAAAAGAAACCTTGATCACTTCTTTAAAAAGCAAGAAAGGAGAAAAAAAAGAAACATGAAGTCTGACCATTAGCAAGCACAAAAATCAGGTGGTTCATAAAAATATGACATAATCATACACTTGTTAATGATTTTTTTTAACTCTAAAAAAAGCCTAGCTATATTGTGTTTATAAGAGACTCGACTCAAATATACAGACACAGCAAGGCTCAAAGTAAAAGAATGGAAAAGTTAAACCAGGCAAATAACCAAATCGTAGCTGGTGTAGCTGAATTAGTACCAGACCAACTTGACGTTAAGGCAAAAGGAATTACTGGAGATGAGCCCTAAGAACCAAAAAGTTCAATCTACCAGGTTTAGGAGGAGACATTAGATGCAGTCACTTAAGAAGGAAATAAAAATCACCCCCTCCTTCAAGAATTACCTTAGAGTTTAAAAGGCTCTTGGGCCTTTATTTGTTAAACATATGATACAGGAAACTGGAGAAGTAGTAGAGTAGGTATTACCACTCCCCTTTCACAGATAAGGAGCCTGAGGTTCAGAGAGGTGGGGGACTCGTATAAAGTCACACAGCAGCAGAATCTTGATCATGTGTCTTCTGACTCCCGGCCCAGTGCTAAGGGCAACGTGGACAGAGAAACTGCAGGGCAGAACTCCCCGGGGAACAGCACCGACGGACGAGGGCTTGGCAGGTGGACAATGTCTAGTGGGGAGTGTAATTGGGCAAAGCACATAGCACAGAAAGGAGTGGGTGGGGTAAATTCTAGCCCTTTTCAGAGAGCGACTCCGCGCCTTACCTGTCTTGCATATGAGAGGTTTGCACCAGGAGGCCTGATGCTTTGCCCTGCAATGCTGCGGGGAGCGGGGCGGGCGGCGAGGCGGGGCAAAGCGCTCCTTTGGAGGACCGCGCACTCCCGCGGACGTCCTCCCGCCCACGTGTCCCCAGACGGCTGGCGCCACGCTCATGACTCGGACATCAGGGCGCCCCGCGCGCCCTCGAGGCAGCTTCCGGAAGCTGGGCAGCACGCTCCCTGTCGTTGCCGCTATCCGCACCCCCCCCAACCCCGCACCTGCCTGGATCGTTAGCCGTCAGGCCTGAGGGCCCCTCCAAGTTGAAACCCAGGTGAGTGTAATAGGACCCAAGGAAGACAGACGCACAGGTGCGCAGGTCCAGGCGAGCAGGAAAACTGACCGCAAGCTCTTTTGGTGGGAAGAGGAGGGAGGCTCTGATGCTCTTAGTTGGACAGGGATTGGGGCGGAGTGGCCAGGGGATAGACAGTGCGAGGGGTCAGTGCGAAGCAGATAGACAGACAGAGCCCAGGCATGGGATAGGGAGAGGCGAGAAGGAGCTAGAAAGAGGTATGTGGATTGAACTGTCTCAAGTCTCCTTTGGAAAGGGGTGGGAGCGGGGTGGTCCTGGTTAGGAAGCATGGCTTCAGAGTCAGCCCTGGCGGCCCCTCTGCAGCTGCTGACCAGCTGTAGGGCCCTGGGCTGGACAGGTAGCCCCTTCAAGTTCCAGTTTCCTCTTCTCTAAAACAAAGGACCTAATTCTTAGGGCTGCGGTGCAGCTTGTAGCCCCTTCAAGTTCCAGTTTCCTCTTCTCTAAAGCAAAGGACCTAATTCTTAAGGCTGCGGTGCAGCTTCCACGCTCTGTGGGTCTCAGAATTGTTCGCGCCATAACACCATGACAGGATACATTCGAAAGGCTGCATGGCGCTTAGCATGGCTCATTCATTTGACACAATGTAGGAGCCCCTATTACGTCCATGTGCTGTGACTACAGCAGGGAAAAAAACAGAATGGCTCACAGTCCACTGGAGGGAGAAAAACAAACACTGATTTTTTCAGTCTGTTAGGTGGTGCTGAGTTGTGGAGAAAATTCACCCAGGGTTAAGAGAGGAGGAAGTGGGGAGGGTGCTGTGGTCAGGGAAGGCTCCCTGTGAGGTTTGAGGCAGGACTCGAAGGAAGAGGGAGAGAAGGAAAGGGACTTCCGGGTTCCGGGCAGCAGGACCAGCAAGTGCAAAGGCCCTGAGGTTGGAAGAGGCAGGGCCTTTTGGAAGAACAGTGAAGAGGACGGTGTGTGCAAAGGGGAGAGGAAGAGGGATGAGGCTGGCAAAGGTTGCTGGGGGCCAGGCAGCTGGGGCGAGGGCCAGCAAGCTTTCTTAAAGGCCGGAGAGTATGTGTTTTAGGCTTTGCAGGCCATAAAGTCTCTGTCGAAACTACTCTGCCATGTAGTGAGAAAGTAGCCGCAGACAAGCCGTAAACAAACAGACGTGGCTGTGTTCCAGTACGACATTGTTTACATAACAAGCAGGCTCCCTGATGTAGAGCCTGGCAGGCCTTCATCGGGCACTGAGTGGGCGAGGAGCCTTAGCGGCTATTTGAGCTGACTCAGGATCTCAGTGTTCACAGGATCACTGTGGCCACTGTGGAGAGCAGACTGCCCGGTGTGGGAATGAGGGCAGAGTGGGAGACCACTTAGGAGGCAAGAGACGATGGTCTGTTGACCTAGGGAGGCGGGGAAGGAGGTGGTGAGCAGGGTCAGATTCTGGATGTCTTTGGAAGGTAGAGCAGATGGGGTTAGCTGTGTGAGGGAGCAAGGAGTCAGGGTGGCCCCACAGCATTGTCCCCTGAGCCAGCGGGAGGCTGGAGCTGCCATTCTCAGAGAAGGGGGCCTAGGGGTCTGCCTGAGCACTGTCTGAAGCTGAGCTCGCCTGGGGAGTGTGCATCAGGGAAGGGAGGGGGCCTCCAGCTCTGAGAGCCAGAGACGTGGAGGAGGAACCAGCAGAGGCGGGAAGTCAGCTGGCAGGAGGGAGGGAAGCCGAGAGGTGGCGTCCTAGAGTCACGGAAGCAAGGAGGACAGACACCGTCCTGCTGCTGCTGCCACCACAAGGAAATCCAGTGATGAGATCTGGCCAGGGACCTGGCATTTCAGGGGTCACCTGGAAGAAAGCGGCTTTGGGGTGGGGGAGCCCGACTGCAGTGAGGTCAGCAGAGGTGGAGGTGGGAGAGGAATTGGGATTTGGCTGTGAAGAGGAGGAGGAAATAGTCTGGGACCTGCAAGCTCAAAGGGAAGAGGTGTTTTAGTGTTCTTGCTTTTTGTTTTTAAAGATGGAAAAAATAGCCACCTGTTTAAGTGCTGATGAGAATGATTCAGTAAAGAAGGGGGAAGTGTGGACGACAGGGAGAGGGGACTTCGGGAGCAGGGAAGGGCCCTGACACATCCATCACAGCCTGGGTCCCGGTGCGTGACTGAGTCAGCTGTGGGACATGGGTGTCATGGGTTCTTTTCCTGATTCAGAGAATGGCATCTTGGAAGCTGATGATGGCCCCAGGTGCCACGCTTGAGCAGGGGAGACAGGCTTAGAGGAGGGTCAGGCTGGGGATGGGGCCGCACGGGATGGCAGAGGGGGCAGGAGAGGCTGTGAGTATGAAGCTGGTGAGAGCTGGTGGCATTTCTCTTCTGTGGGCCCTATTTCGTGCGTGCAATAGGAAACAAGGTCCACTGGAGGGCGCGTGGGGAGAAGAAGAGGTGGCAGAGGTTTGAAAATAAGGGAGAAAGTAGACATTAGTATCTGGGAGGGTGGGGAGGAGGAGACTAGAGTCTGATTCGGCAGCAGCCTTTTGGGCTGACTTGAGACCGAAGGTTGTAATTTTGGAACGAGGCCGTCGGCACAGTAGTAGGGTTTTTTGTTTGTTTGTTCGTTTTGGTTTTTTTAGCCGCTTTAACCAGTGTTGTAATTTTGCTGAGTGAATGTGACAAAGAGAGGGAGCCAAGGGTGTGTAAACGGGATGGTTATAATCCTGGATGGTTAAACCGCAGAAGGACATCAGTGGGTGAGGGATCAAGTGATGGTGGGGGCGCTGGAGAGAAAAACAGTGGGGATCGGGGCACTCGAGGGAGTGAGCTGGAGAGATTGGGGGTGGGCTCTGAAATGGAAATTACGGAGGGGTGCAGTTATTTAGGGTGACAACGTCTGGGGGGACCATGGGAGCAGGCGGCTGAGGTGAGGTGAAGGGCGAGATGGTGGGAGGGCAGAAGGTCAAGGACCCCGCAAGCCAGGAGTTGGAGGGGTCATCTGAGTGGATGGTGAAATACCAAGGACTTAGGTGTGTGTTGGAGAAAGTGACAGCGAGCTGGGGACCGATATCTTCAAGGAAGGAGAGTCCGTGCCAAGACTTCCTTCCGCACCCGCCTGGAGCTCAGCACCTGAGTGTTTTAGAGAGGAGGATAGAATGGTTGGGAAGTGGCCACAGGAAGGAAACAGAGCCTCACCCCACTCCGGGGCAGGAGGGGCAGAAGGTGGGGGAAAGTGACAATGGAAAGGGGATGGGGGGTTGGGACAGGGGGAGGAGACCTCAGGGGGACCTGACAGGGACATCTGGGCCTGGGCCTGAGGGCAGTCAGGGTGCTGTGAAGGGTAGGGTGGGGTCTGGGCTACTCTGTGGCCGGGTGAGAGCTGGGGCACCCTGTTTTCGCTCCTCAGATCCTGGCTGCTCAGACTGGCCACTGGCCAAGGACGGCTGTGGACCAAGGACGCTGCCACCCTGGCTTTGCCCATGGAGCCTGGACCTGACACCAGACACAAGGAGAATGTGGTCTCCCGGCCTGCAACCCCCCTGAAGCCAGGCAAGCTTAGCGAATCCGGGTCGAAGGTGACGGGAACAGGGTCCCCTCTAGCTAGTGGCCCAGAGCCTCTTTCCCAGACAGGCCAGCCTGGGCCCTTGCTCATTTCAAAGATTAGCTATACAGGGCCAGCTGGGCCAGGACAAAATCTTCCCAGCCTGGAGGCCCAAGGGAGGGTCAGGAAGTCAGGAAATGAGGTCAAGAAGAGGGGTGTGGGCATGGCTGGGGCCCCTGCCTGAGAAGGGCCCCCCAGGGGTCTGTCTGTGCCAGGGTGGTTGCCTGGGGAATCTCCGTGCTCAGTGCCTGCGGCTTTAAGAAGGCTGCAGCCAAGGGTGGACGTAGCCCAAGAACAAATTCAGATTCGGATTCACATGCCAGTTCTCTGAGTTCTAGCTGTGTGACCTTGGGCTAGTTGCTTAACCTCTCTGAGCTTTAGTTCCTATCTACAAACTTTTATGGCCCACTCTACCTGCCAGACCCTCCCAGGCATTTACCAGCCCCCAGGAGGCCTTGTCTCCTCTGGAATGGCATTGGGGAGCTGGGGGACCATGGGATGGAGGGGCTCTAAGCCCCACCCCACGGTCCCCCAGATAGTTGCTTTTAGCCGTTTGAGGTGCTGAGCGGTGCTTTCGCCCCCAGCCGCTGCCTGCCCACCGCCACCTCCTCCCTCAGGCTGGAAATCAGGCGCTCATCCTTGGGTTTCACTTTCCTTTGCCCCCTAACAAGCCTCCACCTCCACGGCAGATCTGAATCTGTCTCCTCCCTTCACCCTCCCTGCCGCCCTCTGCCCTCCTCCTCGCCTCTGCCCCTGCCCCGTCCCTGCGCCATGCAGCCAGGCGCCAAACCAGACCACGTCACCGCCCACACTCAAGACCCTGACATGCTGCCCCTCAATGTACAGAGCTGACACAGGCCCCTGAGGTGCGGGCTCACTCCCTCCTGGGACCCTGTCCCTCCCTGGCCCCATCTGTCCCACCTGAGCACTGACCGCCAAGTCCTGGCTCAGGGCGTGACTGTCTCTACTCTCTTTAGAGCAACGGAGACAGCTGAAGAGCCTGGGTTTTGGCCTGGGCAGTGGACATGACCAGTGGGTGCCCATGGGCCAGGCTGAGAGCAGAGGCCCTGCCGCCACCCCCTCTCCAGGGACAGGGCTTCGCCAGGAGCCATGCCGTGTCCAGACCAACCTGGGCAGCCCTAGCCCCCGCCTGGGCCTCGCCCTGAAGGACTCGACCAGCCGGCTGACCAACTCGAGCTTCCGGCAGCAGAGCAACCTGCACCCCCTGGGAGACCTCCCCAAGGGGAGGGTCAGGGAGTGTGCCGTCCGGCAGAGTAACCTGAGCATAAGGGAGACCAATGTGGCCAAGTGCGGAAGTCGCGCCAGCCCCCACGTCTGGTCGGAGCCTCAGAAAAGCTTCTGGCCCCGTGTGATGGGCAGGGGAAGCCCCCCACCCCGAAGGCCACTGCCTCGCTCACCTTCCAGCCCGAGGCGGTCCCAGCTGTCGGCCACAGACACCCCCTGCCCAGACTTCAGGCCCACTGTGGGCCGTGCCCCTCTCAATGGGCACACACGGCCAGGCTCCAGATGCGGGTGTGGCCTGGGGAACTGGATCACCAGGCTCACGGGGGAACCCCTCACCCTGGATGACCTGGCTGTCCCTGCTCGGACTCAAGCTCGGGCCCCGTCCCAGGCTGCCATCTCCCAGCTGCTGGCCTCTGTGCGACACCTGGAGCACGAGGCAGCCCACCTGGGGTGCCGGTTGTCCCAGCAGGAGCCCTGGACCAGTGATGGCCAGGCCTTCCCTGCCGGCACCCAGCCCAGCCAGTCTGGTCTTGCTTACTGGGATGAGAGGAAGAAGCACCCCCGAAGTCTCAAGGGGACTTCAGATTGGCCAGAGATGCCAGGGGTCCAGGCTGATCTCCGGTACCCTCAGGCAGGCAGCAAGCCCGCATCACTAGAGACTGCTTTGGAGATGCCGACTGGCCAACTCCTTGACCCTGAGCAGGGATCCTTTCTGTCCCCTAAGGCAAGGAAAGAACTGCTCCCCAGGGCCTAGTATGGCAGAGGGCAGAGCGGGTGGGCAGCAGAGAGGCCTGACTCTGCATCTCTGCCTTCTCCAGAGCAGCCTGGGGCACCCTCCCTGGGTTGGGAGGAGGAGAGGAGCAGACTCACAAGGCCAGAGGTGCCCCACAGGCAGAGGACAGAGGAGTCTGCAAGTGGCAGTTGGGGGTGCTCCAGGGAGCCGCTGCCTCTCCCAGGAATTCTCACTCCAAGCTGGCGGTTCCTACGCTGCCACACCCCCATTCCTCAGAAAGGGAGGCCTTAGGGAAGCAGGCTCAGCCGGGGTGTCCTGTCCTGCTTGCTTCTTGGCCTGAGAGCTGTCTTGTCCTTTTGTTTTCCAAGAACAAAGCCCGACACACTGTGAGCCTGGAGTCCGAGACAGCGTGGTAAGGCCATGGCTGCGGGGTGGGGCCGGGGCCACACTTCTGGGCCAGCTCCTCTCCCATTTGCCTGGGTGAATGGACACAAGGCCTGATAGAGATAAGGCCCTGATGGCAGATCCACACAAGATTAAGGGGGAGGGGATTTCCTTCCGGGTGAGAGGGGCCTACTGGCCCTAGGGAGGAGAAGGTGGAGACTCCATTCTCCTGCCTCCAGGGGCTTTCTCGGTTGGGATTTCCAAGGCTAGCCAATAATAGAGGGAAGTCCGACCCTCTGCAGCCTGGGGGGCCAGGCCCACCCCCCCCATCAGCCCTGGTCCATCCCCAGCTGGCAGCTGCTGTCCAGATGTTTCCGAGCCTGGCAGCACTTGGCGTGGAGGAGGCGGGCAGTGGCGGCGGCGTTGGCCCTGGGCCACCGGCAGCTGTTGCGCAGAGGCCTGCAGGCCCTGCGGTGGACACTGCGGCTCCGGGACGCCCAGCTGAAGGTGGCGTGGAGGCGACACACGCAGGCCCTGCTGGCCCGGAGCTTCCAGAAGGTCAGAGTCTCTAGGCTGGGCAGGGGGGCAGGGGTGGGCGGCAGTGATGAAATGATGGAGTGTCTGGGGAGGAGGTTCTTCCGGGGCATAGGTTACAGCTCCTGAGTGATCAGTACAACAGGTGGTTGTCAGCCCGGATGCCCAAACCAGCTCTGCCCGAGTTCAAGTCCTGCCTCCGCTACTTTCTTTCATACTTTCTGACTGTGGGGACTCGGGCAAGTTGCTTAACCTGTTTGTGCCTTAGTCTTCTATCTCTAGAATGGGATAACAATAGTATGTACCTCTCAGGATGGTCGTGAGGTTAAATAAATATAAGGGATCAGAACTCTGCTTAGTGCATAGCAAGCACCCTACTGTGTAAGTGGATGCTATTTTTCGCTAGTGGTTTGCGGGCCAGGACCGGGAGGGCACTTTTGTGTTCTCTCCTTGGGAAAGGGGTGCTCTGGGAGGACCCGGCCCCAGGTTTGGTCTCCTAAGGAAAGCCCTGCCCCTTGGGCTCCATCTCTCCATCCATTCATCACGCATTCCCAAAGAGGCAGGGTAGTCTCATGGTTAAGGCCACGGGCTTTGCAGTCTGATAAAAATGTTTGACTCCCGTCCCTGCCCCATTGGGTGCCCCCTCTCAGGGCACATTTGAGGCTGCAGCCAAGGTCCCTCTTCCCTTCTCTCTTGATCCTGCAGTGGAAAAACCTGACTCTGCAGCAGAAGCCAGGGCAGCCCCATATCCAGGCTGGGCTAGGACCCCCACCCTCTGGGCGAGGCCAAGGCAAAGGCCCCTCACGAAGGAAGCCAGTGGTGGACCCCACCCAGAGAAGCAGGTAGTCTGGGACATCCCAGGTTGGGCAGCGTGGCCTGGCCAATGCTGGCGGCCTTCTCTCCTTGTCCTTTTCCCTATTAAGAGAATGAGGATAAAACTGGCAGATGTGGACAAAGATTTGTGCAAAAAAGATGTCCATCACGGCATTAGTTGCCCTTGTGAAAACTTTGGAATAGGCTAAATGCTCAGTGAATGAGAAAATTATGTTTTAACCACATGATGACTATTTGGCAACTGTTCCACATAATATTTATGAAGACCGAAAAAATTCCTCCTCTCTTTTTTTATTTTTCTTTTCAATACTTTTAACTTTTATTTCTAATCACGACAGTCATGCGTGCTTGATTTGAAAAAAACATCCAAAAATAAAAAGAAAGAAAGAACATCCAGTATAATTGGAAATGTCGTGCCCTTCCCTGTGTCACCCCCTTCCTGGAAGTATTTTTATGGATATTTGCATAGAATTTTCAATGACGAGGAAAAAATGATCGTGACATTAAATTTAAAAAAAAAAGGATTAAAAAAAATAACGTCTAAGGTATTTTTCCTATGCACCTAAAACAGTGCAAAAAAAAAAGACCGGAAGAGAAAATACTAAAATGTTGCCCAATAACGTGACTGACTCAATGACTGCTGAACTGGTCACTTAAAAAGGGTTAAGATGGTAAATTTAGGTTATGTGTTTCCTACCACTATTAAACATAAAAAAATAATAAATTAATAAAGATTTCACACCACTCCCC